TTTTTTTTTTTTTTTTTTTTTTAACTTAATAATGAAAAATACATAAAAATAATTAGTATTAATTTTAATCTCTAGAGAGTTTCTTCAAAGCTATTAAAATTTATTTTCATTTATTAAAATAAATAAATAACATTTTTATCCTCTTTAATGAGTGGAAACAGCTCTAGTAAATAAACTTTAAAATATTAATTATATTAACGAAGTACTTTAAAAAATTGATTTTGATAAAAAAAAAAAATTGTTTTTTTTTTCATTATAATTTTTTTTTTAAATAATTCAAATATACTAAGAAAGGTGAAGAATATTTATTTTATAAGTATTAGTTTGTTGTGGACGGTTAACCGATATTGTTCGTAGCGGTCAGTCTCTCTAATTTAAAACCTCTTAGAGATTTCCACTCTTGTTTGTAAAGAATGATTTGTTCTCTTCTCCAATCAATATGAGATCTTACATTCTACTCTTTTGGGAACCAATGTTCTAGCTGACACATCGTCTGTTATCTGGTTTTGATACCACATGTAACAGTTCAAACTCACCACTAGTAGATATTGTCTGCTTTTCCTCGTTACGTATCACCGTAATTCTCATCATTTCAAAACACATTTGTTAAAGAGAGATTTCCACCCTTTTATAAGAAATATTTTATTCCTCTCTTCACTCGATGCAAGATTTCACAATATTTTGAAGAATTTTTAAAAAAGTGCTACAAAACAAAACTCACCATTATATATTTATTTCAATTCGACCACATAGGAGGTGGTGGTTCGGACACCTGACCTACATGACATGTGCATAAACCGTTAATCGGTCTATCTTAGGTGAACAAACCCTATAATTCTTTTTACACAACCCATTATCTAAAATCTCTATTTCTTCGATCTCGTCTAATATAACAAGTCTCTTCACTTCTTTTTAAGCCCTAAAATAAACGTCATACCATAGAAATCGTTCATAACTCAGGATAAAGTGATAATTTTGGAAAATTTAAGTAAATGAAAGGATTATAATAACAAATTTAAAACTATTAAGAGTAAATTAAGGGACTCAGAACAAAAAAACAAAATTTATTGATAGAATATTGAGTACTTTTTTGGTGCTAAAGTGAGACCATGGTAGTATTTACCGTTAAATTTAACCCTTTGATTTGTACTCGGTCCTTGTTCATCTTTTTGGCTTTTTTTCTTCTTCTTCTTTTTCTTTTGCTGATTTGTTTGGAGGAGGAGAAGGTGGAGGTTTGTAATTGAGATTGACAGTGAAGCGAGTCTACTTTTTCCTTGTCTGCTTCTCTTCTCTGTTGCTTTTCTTCCTTATTTTACATCCCACATTCCTCAAATTTGTCTTTAATTTCAAACGTAACCCCCCAATTTCACCATTCGTTATCGCTTGAGTGTTCTTTAAAGCAAATTCCATCGCCCTCAACCTCTAATCCATGTGGGTTTTTGCTTACACCCTTTGAAATCCTTCCATTTCCATGGCGGATGAACCCCAACTAGCAGATTTTCAAACCCTTTTCTTAAATGGGCTTTCGTTTCTTCAATTTTCTCTCTGATTTCTTCGATGGGTAGTCGATTTTGAGGCGTTTCTGATATGGGTTTCATTGTTCTTCTCTGATCAACGCTGTTTTTCTCTCGTTGTTTGTCTTTGTCGTTTTTATCTGAAGCTCTCGGCTCAGAAAATGAGGGATTTCCCATCTTGTTTCGGCGAAAATGGTGTCCAAGTAGCAGATTTCTCTTCTTCAAACAATGGTAAGACCGCTCAAAACCTTGTCACTTGTGTTTATCAATGTCGACTACGAGGGCGTTCTTGCTTGATTAGTGTTACTTGGAGTAAAAATCTGATGGGTCAAGGGCTTAGTGTTGGTATTGATGATGCTTCAAATCAATGTCTCTGTAAAGTTGATATTAAGCCATGGCTGTTCTCTAAAAGAAGAGGGTCTAAAACTTTAGAAGCTTATTCTTCTAAAATCGACATTTATTGGGACCTCTCTTCTGCCAAATTTGGATCTGGGCCTGAACCATTGGAGGGTTATTATGTGGGAATTGTAGTGGATAAACAAATGGTTCTTGTTCTTGGGGATTTGAGAAAAGAAGCTTTCAAAAAGTCCAATTCCTCCCCTGTGCCTTCTTCTGCTGTTTTCATTTCCAAGAAGGAGCATATTTTTGGGAAGAAAGTGTTCTATTCCAAAGCTCAGTTTTGTGATAATGGTCAAATTCATGATATTAATATCGAGTGTGATACGAATGGTGTTAGTGAACCGTGCTTGATTCTACGAGTCGATTCGAAGACCGTGTTGCAGGTGAAGCGGCTGCAATGGAAGTTTAGAGGGAACCACACCATTTTGGTTGAAGGGCTTGCAGTGGAAGTGTTTTGGGATGTTCATAGTTGGCTGTTTAGTGCATCACCTGGGAATGCTGTTTTTATGTTCAAAACATGTCTGTCAGCTGAAAAGTTGTGGGGAAGTCAACCATTTTGTGATCCTAATGTCTTGTCCTTGTCTTTCTCTCAGAGATTTTCAGACAGCAAATCACAATGTCTTGGTTTCTCATTGATATTACATGCCTGGAAGAATGAATAGAGGAGTGGTTGCTGATTCTTTTCTAATTTTTTAAACAAAAAACGAAACTCCTAGCGATTGACAGACTTTTATTGTCCCTTTTCGTGTTGATTACGTTCGATCCGATGAACTGAATCATTTGATTATATGAGAGAGGATTTTGTTATAGTTGGTTGTACATTGCTCTGTTTGAACTTGATCATTGTTGTCAAGTATATATCTAATATTACATGCCTGGCTTTGATCTTCCCAAATCTTTAGTCGACCGCCTCGATTGCTCGTAAACGTTATTTTCATAGCTTCAACATTCAACATTCTGTGCTAACGTTGTTTGCGTTGCTCCTTTCGACGATTTCCCGAGCTTCTTTGTTCTTCGTTTGTTGTAGGGCCTTCTACTGTTGCAGATAGCCAGTTTGGGTTTGGCAAGTTTTATTGTCATGAATGGCTTGTTTGCAGACTTCAGAAATCCTTTATTTTGTTGAAATGTTGTACTTTCTCCAGAAATCGTCACATTTGAACGACGGTTTTTTGTCGATCGATCGATGTATTGTTCTAAATTGATCGAGCATGGCTGATGGGCTTTGGATGAAAGACTGAGCTCCTAAACTTTACGCTTGATCCTTTTGCCAGTCCTTCGGGTTCTCCGGGATTCAATCGATCGTTTATTGTCCACAAGGCTTGGGTAAGACTTAAATCCATAAGTTGAGGTCCTTTTTGCTGCTTACATTGATGTTTTGATTCTATGATATAACTTAAGCAAGAACTTGTTCTGTTAATAGTTACTCCATAACATTAACATTTACTTGTCTTTCAATCACAGTTCTGAAGAACAGTTTCGTTGAAGATGCTCTGAAACAAATACTGAGCAGCATCTCTACAGCTCACTGTTCAAGTAAATGGATATCAGTAGCTCTAGATGATATCTATGCTTAATATTTCTTCTCTGTCTGATATGTTTAAGCCAGTACTCTTAGTTCTTATTCTCGCTACTTCGTCTTATACAATCATAGTTTCGGGATTGTTTGTATTTCGATATTGGAAAACAAAGGATGTGAGATCCCATATTGGTTGGAGAGGGAAACGAAACATTCTTTATAAGAGTGTGGAAACCTCTCCCTAATAGATGCGTTTTAAAACTGTGAGGCTAACGACGATACGTAACGGGTCAAAGCGGATAATATCTGCTAATGGTGGACTTTGGCTGTTACAAATGGTATCAATGTCAGACGCCGAGCGGTGTGCTAGTTAGAACTCTGGGCCCCAAGAGGGGTGGATTGTGAGATCCCTCGTTGGTTGGAGAGGAGAGGGGAACGAAACATTCTTTATAAGAATGTGGAAACCTCTCTTTAACAGACGTGTTTTAAAACCGTGAGGCTGATGGTGATACTTAACGGGCCGCGAACAATATCTGCTAACGGTGAACTTGGGCTGTTACAAATAGTATCGGAGTCCGACACCGAACGGTGTACTAGTGAGGACGCTGGGCCCTAAGAGGGGTAGATTGTGAAATTACATATTGGTTGAAGAGGGGATCAAAGCATTTCTTATAAGAGTGTGGAAACCTCTTCCTAACAAACGTGTTTTAAACCCGTGAGGCTGACGACGATATGTAACAGGTCAAAGTAGACAATATATGCTATCTGCTAGCGGTGGTAAATTCTTTTATTTTCCCCGTAGAGACTATATTTTCTATTTTTCTGCTCATCCTTAAATGGATTTAACTTTGGTTTCTCTCATTGTGAAAGCAAACTTACAGCTTCCAGGATGATGAAGCTGCTGACCATTTCCGCTCGTGATCGATCTTTTCAGCTGCCAGTTTGCCGTGCATATTTTAAGCTCGTCGACTGACGTTTACACGTCGCGTAGTACTTGCACAACTCGTCCTTCTTGTAAGTATTTTAAGCTTAGTATAATTATGCTCTTAATTTATCGGTTCGAATTTTTTAAGTTTATTAGTAATAACTTAACATCGTATCGAAGCAAGAGGTCTTATGTTCGAACCCGAGAGTATTGTGATTCAAATTACTATCTTAAGTCCACACATAAAGGAGAGGTTAAAGATACATTTATAAGATCTTGGTTTTGTTTGGTTGCCTCTTCTGCAAATTTGTACTTCTAACACTATCCAAACAACCATTGAACTTGTTCATAAATTTGAAGCCTGCAAACTCAGGTTTCTCACTTGGTTCATATGGGGTCGGATTCGGATATGCATTCTACGGAGTCGAAGAGGAAGTTCGAGGTCGTAATAAGGTTTAGGGTAGATTGTATTTACGAGGGGTAATGGAGTATTCGTTATCTTTGGCTAGACGTAAATTCGAAAACTTGATTGAAGTTTGTGTTTGTTTGATCGAAAAGTTTAAATAGTGTCTAATAAGTTCCTAATCTTCAAGTTTGTATTTGATAGGTTCTTGAACTTTACTCTATAAAAAATATCATATAAATTCATCTAAGTTATTGAGTTTAATTCTAAAGTCTTGAGATTAGTGTTTGTTTGGTTCTCGAAGTTTCAGATAAATCTAATAAGTTACTGAACTTTGTTTGGTATTTGAGAATTTCAATTTTTAATTTTTTTTTTAATATTTATTGGATATAATCAGATAATGAGATTTTCAAGTCAACACTCCCCAAGGACAATCGTGCTATGTGTCACCATCATGCTTGTCCACAATGTGTTTATGGCCGCATGTCGGATGTCTCGGTCACGCTTGTCCAGGACGTGTTGTCCATGGCTGCATGCCCATTACAAATCCTTTTTACATGCTTTCAGATAGGCCCTTCTACCATTTCAGGTTGTGTCAATATGGGGTGTATGACTACTTACCAAAATTATGTCTACACCTGTTAGGGCTAAAATGTCTCAAAATCTACTGTAGGGTTATATGACTAGTTTTCACTTCTTCATATCCTGAGTTATATGTTATTTAAGCCATGATGTTTCTTTCTTTGCTTATAGCCATATAACGATGATTTCTTCAATTATTTCAAATCGTTTTCAAATATATATTCTCGCTCACGTTTCCTAAAAAAATTTATCGCAAACATGACTCGATACTCGAACATACGTCGACGTTGTATGCGACGTCCAAATTTCTTATGACTAACTTGTACATTATCTTGCTACCTCAAATAAGTGTCGCATAATCATTATCCACTCCCGCAAGAATGCGATTGTGACATTATGCATACATTGTTTACACCCTCTTTTAAATATAATATTATGTCGTGTTACGTTCTTATATAACAATGATACAGATAATTAAAATAGTTGTTATCATTTATTTTATTAATATATCATTAAAATAATTTATATAATTAATATGATAACAAATTAGCCATGGATCAATTTCATCTCATTTTAAAGAAAAAAAAAATCAATTATGTTATCGAGTTCAACAAAATAAATAAATTAAAAAAATTAAAAGATCCAAAACCCGAAACCCGAAAGAAAGTGAACCCGACCCGTTTTCCAGAGTGCGATCCAAGTCAAAATTTCTCTCCTCTCTCTCTTCACTCCATTGCAGGCTTGCAGCTACTAGATCCAAATAACCGGCCGGCGAGGGAACTGGGCTGAGAGGGCGGGTGTTTAACTGCATTTTCTTTGCAATTCTCGATCTCAGCCACTCTCTGAATTTCGCGAAGATGGTGAGTAAAGCAGAGGAGGCCGAATTGAATAGACTCGAGACTCAGGTCGATAATGGAGGTGGAGGTGCTTGGGAGTATCTTTCCCTCGTCAGGAAACTCAAGGTTCGCCGTTCTCATAAGGTCTTAAACTATGGATTGTCGATCTTGAATGATTCCAGAAAGCGATCCAGTCTCGGCCAAGAGGGTGAGTTTTAGCCTCTCTGTTGATTCTTCGATCTGGATATGAAGATATGTTTTTCTTTTAACGATTCTCTTGCTTTGTAATTTTTGGATTTTGGAGGAATCAACATATAATTAAGTTTTGCACTGCTTGCTTTGTTTATAAGAATTTGAATATTATTTTTGGATTTCTGTATCCTTGTTACTGCTCAATTGAAGATCGTAATGTAAAAATTAGCAGGACAAAAGATAATAGCTTTAAAGAAAAGAGCAACTGTAGATTCAATGCACATCTCACTAAATCATTGGATGGACTAACTTTGATTTTTGTTTTTGAATAGTTTATCAAAAGAAACTTTAAATGTAAGTTTAGCTTCATCATGTTTTAAATTTCTTTGGCTCATACACCTTTTTGTGGCTGAAATATGGATTAAACTTCTTCTTTATCGAAGTTCTTGGTCCAGGAAGCAACTAGAACTTCTTAATTTGCATATGCAGTTTCCTTTATGTATTACTGAAAAATTATATAGGTCCAGGAGTAATTTTTCTTAAACAGGAAAAACATGAACTTCTTTTGAAAAACAAGTGAGACCGGTCTTTTAATCCCTCTTTTTGTTACTTTTGTATCGTATCGTGGAAGATATATTATTAAAGGTTTTCCTTTCTCAATGACTAAATTTTTGCCAAAATGTTTTTGTGACTATGATTTTTTGCTCGGTGTAGAATGGACCCTGTACGAACAGGTAGCTATTGCAGCGCTTGACTGCCAAGCTATAGATGTTGCGAAGGTGCAATTTACACTTCTTTAGTTAACTACTTGAATTGCAGATTGGTCGAGTCTAGTCATTTGATGACGCTTGGTTTTGAGATTTTTTTTTTTTTGCCTTGGATTAATGCCTTACACTCTGCAATCTATTGTAGGATTGCATAAAGGTTCTTCAGAAGAAATTTCCACAGAGTAATAGAGTTGGTATGTTAAAAATAAGTTGTTGTTTTTTCTATATTTGTATTCTTGTTAGATTTTGTAACCGAGGTTGACCCTTTATTTGTCATCATATCTGATAGTTGAACTTCCAATAACGTATGAAATACTAACCTATGGTAAACCCAATGGTCGGGTAAAGGCGATTGAGCTGCTGAGCCTTGGATTGGGAACCACTCGACTGGCTGGCCAACTCACCTGAGCTAAATATGCCACAATGTGGCAATCTTCTTTTTGACTACCTAATGTTCTAGGGTTAACTTATTTTTTTAGCCATTTGTTATAATTGCTTTGTCATTTTCAATTAATTGATGATTAACAATAAGGCTGCTCTATGTTAAATGTTATCTTAGATCTCCAATTCATTCAATTTTCATGGCTTATGGTTCCTTGTTATCCTTTATCATTCGCTTCACCCATCATTACATTTGTACTCAATTTTATTAGATCCGACAATATAAAAAGCATGGGCATGAACTTGTGATACGAACACAACTGGGTTGTGATAATATGTCATTTTGTAGTGAAATGAGAATATATAGACGCAACAAGGTTTTCTTACTAAAGTACATATTTTGCAAGGGCTCTCAGACTGAAAAGTTCCATTTTGAAGCTTAGCAGTAAACTTCATACATTTGAAGATACAATGTCTTATAAGGTTTATAAAATAAATTTCAATCCAATTAGCATATTTCTAAAAGATTTAATATTTCATGATAAAACACAATTTGTCCACTGAAAATCACTGGCTTTAGAAAACCATCTTGCTTATCATTCGAAGTTCATTTATCTTTCTAAAAGGCTTTTAGTCACATCGACTATTTTGTGGATTATCACTGGGCTACTGTTAGAAGCTGCTAAAACTTAAAGGCTGGTTTTTTGTCGTCAGATCTGAGAAGGAGCTAAACTATAGATTCGTGGATGATGGCTATGCTAAACTATGTTTGGCTGATGGCTATGCTAGAAATTCTCAATTCGAGACTAGGGAGGCACAAATAGTGGTAGCTTTAGTGCAGCCTGGGTATTTTTATGTAAATCTCTTTTTGTTCTTGGACCGTGTAGTAGATTTTGGAGCCATCCTCAATTAGGTGTTATGCAACTCTATTTTAGGGGAAAATTTCCAACTCCTAGGAAGGTTAGGGTTTTTATTTGGTATCTAAGTTGGGATACATATGAGAAGGTAGACTCAAGCTAAGATTTTGCTCGTGAGCGTAATGGTATGTCATGGGCAAGAGGAATGGGGAATAAACTAATCGCTTGTCCCTGTGTTGTTGCATTGGAGTCAAATCATGGGTCTCCTTTGACTGTTATCATTCTACTGACTAAAGTGCGTGTCCTCATAGAAAATGTGTCAGTTAAGTGACCATTTTGTTTTGAAGGGAATTTTTTGGTGGACATTGTACAATTGTATTTTATATGATTTAACTATAATCTGTGGCAGTTTTTGCGACTTTATGAATTCCTGGATCTCAGAATCCAGTCTCAACCTGTTTCTCAAATCGCGAATGGAATTTCTGTTGATTACATCGGCAAATTGCATATTGTTGATATGATAGATTCTGAGTAGATAAACATTACAAGCACTTCGATGGATTATGGGGTTGCCTTGTCACAGGGAGGCTAGAGGCTATGTTGCTTGAAGCAAAGGAATTGTGGGCTGAGGCTGAAAAAGCTTACGCTAGCTTTCTAGAGGAAAATCCATGTGATCAAGTAATTTTTTTAACTGTTCTTTGTGAAACGATATTTTTATTTTTTCCCTTGCAATTTTTATTTAATGGTGGTATTCCATTATGAATATAATCACTTGAGATATATGATGAGCTATAGATATAGCTCTATAAGCCTTTCAGATATTTCATTTTCCTTCCTTGCACTTGAACAGATAGTACATAAGAGGAGGGTTGCCCTGGCAAAATCACAAGGCAACATTGCGGTGGCTATTGAATGGCTTAACAAATATCTTGAAACGTGAGCAGATTTTTGCATACCTCTTATTTGAAATGCTTAAAAAGGCGTCTTTCAGATTTCTTTTCTCCCTTTATCGTAGATTTATGGCCGATCATGATGCCTGGAGAGAACTGGCTGAACTATATGTATCTCTCCAAATGTGAGTAATTTCCCTTTTCATGTTCCTTTCTATCAATCAGCAGTGTCCAAATTGTGTCCTTGTGTTCCCAATTAAGAACTTGTATTTTGTATCTGTATCTTAGGTACAAGCAAGCAGTTTTTTGCTACGAGGAGCTGATATTATCTCAGCCCACAGTTCCGCTATATCACTTAGCTTATGCAGATGTAAGTGGCTCCTCATCCCTGATGACTATATCTTCCTCTTCATTAATTGTAATATTTTCGGGAAGTTTATTG